ATACCGAAGGCTGTGCTCTTTGATCTTCATCGGTAAATGTTTTAAGTCTTCTTCACTTTCAGCAAACAAGGTTCTGTCATCTGCATATCGCAGGTTGTTAATGAGTCTTCCCTCCAATCCTGATGCCACATTTTTCTTCATACAGCCCAGCTTCTTGGATTATTTGCTCAACATACAGGTTGAATAAGTATGGTGAAAGAATACAGCTTTGTCGCACACCTTTCTTAATTTTAAAACATTCAGTGTTCCCATGTTCTGTTCGAACAACTGCCTCTTGGTCCAGGGACAGATTCCTCATGAGCATAAGTAAGTGTTCCAGAATACTCATACTTCGCAATTTATCCATAGCCTGTCATGATCTACACAATCAAAAGCCTTTGCATAGCCAATAAAGCACAGGTAAACATCTTTCTGATATTCTCTGCTCTCAGCCAAGATCTATCAGTCATCAGCAGTGATATCCCTCGTTCCACAGCCTCTTCTGAATCTGGCTTGAACCTCTGGAAGTTCTCTGCCACTGTAGGGCTTGCAGCCATTTCTGTGTTACCTTTAGTAAAACTTTATTTGCATGTGATATCAAAGAGATTGTCAGATGATTACTGCATTCCATTTGGTCACCTCTCTTTGGAATGGGCACAAATACGGATCTTTTCCAATCAGTCAGCCAGATAGTCGTCTTCCAAATTTCTTGGCAGAGATGAGTCAGTGCTTCCAGTGCCGCCTCACGCTTTCTTGAAAGATTTCAATTTTCATTCCATCAGTTCCTGGCACCTTGTTCTTTGCCAGTTCCTTCAGTGCACCATGGACTTTTTCCTTCAGTATCATTGGCTTTTGATCATAGGCTACCTCTTGAAACGGTTGAACTTTAACCATTTACTTTTGGTACTTTGACTTTGTGTATTCCTTCCATCTTCCATTGATGCTTTCTGCATCATTCAATAATTTAGCCCAGTGAATTTTTCAATAATGAAAGTCAAGGCTTGAATTTTTTTCAATTCCCACAGCTTGAGAAATGAGCGTGTTCTTCCTTTTTGGTTTTCTGATTCCAGATCTTTGCACATTTTGTTGTAATATTTGGCTTTATCTTCTCAAGCTGGTCTTTGACATTTTCTGTTCAGCTCTGGTACCTCCTCATTTCTTCCATTTACTTTAGCATCTCTATACTGGAGAACAAGTTTCAGTGTCTCTTCTGACATCCATTTTGACCTTTTTTTCATTCTTGTCTTCTTAATGACTTTTTGCTTTCTCCATGTATGTTATTCTTGATGTCATCCCACAACTCTTCTGGTCTTTGGCCTTTAGTGTTTAATGTATCAAATCTGTTCTTCAGATGATCTCTAAATTCAGGTGGGATATATTCAAGGTCATATTTTGGCTCTCGTGGACTTGTTTT